GGGTGGGGCTGGGGGAAGGGGGTGGGGCTTGCAGCCAGGGGGTGGAGTGTCCTGCAGGAGGCGGGGCTTCGGTGGCAGGGGCGGGACTGCCTTGCAAGGCATTGGCTGGGAGGGTGGTGAGGTTATAGCCACGCCCCCTCTTTCCTGGGAGGGTGTGTCCATATAAGGTGAAGGGGTGGGGCTTGGGGCTAGAAAGGGTGGGGTCTTCCTGTTGGGGGTGGAGCTTTGTTGGGTTTAAAGGACTTGGGGGGTGGGGCCAAGGGATGGGGCGGGGCTTGGAGATCTGGGGTGGAGCCTTTTATTTCCCTGGAGCCTGCCAGGGATTGGTCAGCACAGCGTGATGTCAGGGGGCTAGCTCTGCCCCCAAAGGGGTGGGGCCTGCATCGGTGGGGTGGGACCCAGGTGCTCTTAAAGAGACAGTGCCTGGTGGGTGGGGCCGGGCTGGGGAGGGGCGGGGCTTGCAGTGACCCCGCCCCTTCCCCCAGCACCTCCATGGCCGCCACCTCTGTCACCCCTTCACGGGACAGCTCCTGCCCGTCGTCACCGACCCCGCCGTGGAGCCCGCCCGTGGCACCGGTACTGGGACCAGTATGGGGGCAGGACTGGGACCTACACTGAGGGTGGGGGGCATGGGGACCAGTAATGGGACCGGGACCAGTATGGGAGGGATAGAGACTGGTCTGGGCATGGGTGTCCCAGTTTGGGGAGGTGACTGGTTCCTTTTTGGGGAGGGGAGGTGTCACTGGTGGTGGCAGGGGGTGACAGCGGTGGCAATGGGTGACAGCGGGAGGGGGTGAGAGTGGCTGTGGGGGTGACGAGGGGTGGGGCAGGGGGTGAGGGTGGCCGTGGGGCTGACCAGGGGTGGCAGCAGCGGTGACAACGCGTCCCCGGTCCCCGCAGGGGCGGTGAAGGTGACACCGGGGCACAGCCCCCCTGACCTGGCGCTGGCCCGGGCCCACGGGCTGCCCCTGCTCTCCGTCATTGGGGACGATGGCACCATGTGTCCCCCGGGCGGGGGGTGGCTCCAGGTACTGCCGTTCCCCGTGTCCTTTCCGTCCTCGTGTCCCCAAATCGTGTCCCCTGTCCCCAATCAGTTCCCTGTGTCCCCTCCACCTCCGCGTCCCCTCTCCTCAGCCGCATCGCTGTGGCCCCTCCGTCCCTGTGTCCCCAGCTCTGTCCCCGTCACTTCCCAGTGTCCCCTCTGTCCCCAACTGTGTCCTTTGTGTCCCCAGCTTTGTCCCCTGTCACTTCCCAGTGTCCCCAGCTGTCTCCTCTGTCACCAGCTCTGTCTCCTGTCATTTCCCTGTGTCCCTATCTCTGCTCCCTGTCACTTCCCAGTGTCCCCGCTGTCCCCAGCTCTATCTCCTGTCACTTCCCGGTGTCCTGTCTGTCCCCATGTCCCCAGCTCTGTCCCCTGTCCCCAGGGCGTCCATCGCTTCGTGGCACGGGAGAAGGTGGTGGCGGCGCTGGCCGAGCGAGGGCTGTACCGCGGCGCCCAGGACCACGCCATGACGCTGCCCATGTGCAGGTACCGCTGTCCCCACCCTGTCCCCTCCCTGTCACCTTTTCAGGACACACGTCCGTCCCCTCCCACCACGGGGACACGTCCCTAGGGACTGAGGTGACCTCGATGTCCCCGCAGCCGCTCGGGGGATGTCATCGAGTACCTGCTGAAGAGCCAGTGGTTCCTGCGGTGCCGGGAGATGGCACAGCGTGCCCAAGAGGTGACAGGGACACGGGGACATGGCAGGGGCGGGGAGGGGACACACCCGGGCGCCTGGATCCGTGACCCTCCCCTTTCCCCCGCAGGCGGTGACATCAGGACATCTCAAACTTGTCCCCAAATTTCACGAGAAGAACTGGAAGACGTGGATGGACAATGTTGGGTGAGGAGGGGGGCACCCAGGTGTCCAGGGGTGGGCACCCAGGCATCCAGGAGGGGCACCCAGGTCTCCAGGGGGGCACCCAGGCATCTGGGGAGGGCACCCGGGCCTCGAGGAGGAGACCCAGTGTCCGGGGGGGCACCCAGGCGTCCAGGGAGGGCCCCCAGGCGTCCAGGGAGGGCACCCAGGCGTCCAGGGAGGGCACCCAGGTGTCCAAGGTGGGCACCCAGGTCTCCAGGGGAGGACCCAGGCATCCAGGAGGGACACCCAGGTGTCTGGGGGGGGACCCAGGCATCCAGGGGGGCACCCAGGCATCTGGGGAGGGCACCCAGGCATCCAGGAGGAGACCCAGTGCCCGGGAGGGCACCCAGGCGCCCAGGGACGGCACCCAGGCGTCCAGGCAGGGCACCCAGG